GGGGGGGGGGGGAGGGTTGTTTTGTTTCCCAGGCCTGTTTCGTTCCCCTGCGCCCCCGGTTTTTCCAAGCCTGTACTTGCAAAGGGACAGTTTGGCACTTGAACTTTTTGCTGCCGGGTGCTGCGTGACATCCCCGGTGCCAATGCCAGAAGACAAAAGAAAGAGCAAGAGGGAAAAAGGATATGAAGTTAAATTTTAAAACTTTTTTTTTTTTTCTCGAGAAGAAGAGTCCATTCCGTGTCTTTCTTGACAATAAAGTGAAAAAAAAAACATAAAATGGGGAGAAATATTGAGGGATATAATTTTTTTGCCTCATTCCCACCCCACTTTTTTCTTCTTTTTTTTTTTGTTTTCTTATTTTTATAACTTTCTTTTGCACCTTTAAAAGAAAAACGTACCTGAGAAGAAGTTCCGAGGAGCCCCCATCTGCATTTTTGTGTGTGTGCTTCATTACAAGATTCCAAATCGACTTGCACCTTTTTGAAATCATCGATGACATGAGAAAGAGAGGAAGAGGAGAGAGAAAGCGAGAAAGAGAGAAGAAAAAGGAAAGGCGAAAGAAGGAAAAAAAAGAAAAAAGTGAGCTGATGCTCACTTTAAATGGAGGAGGCGTCTGCATTGCACATTTGCCACGGATTTAGTTGATTTATATATATAATATATTATATAACTTTTTTGGCAAAAAAGCACTATTTTTATGGGACATTTTGTGTAGTATCTGAAGAGGGATTGTAATGTTTAAAATGTGTTATGGTGCTAAAGTAAGTTGGAAGGGAAAAAACCCAGAAATAGCAAGGGAGGGTGGGGAGGGAAGGACAAGATAGCGAATACTGAACTTGAAATTTTAGCTTTTCGTTTTAGGAAAAGTGTGATAAATGTGTTTCTTTTCTCTTCTGAAATATAGCTTGGTCATGACCATATGAGCTAGTTGGCTGTTACTCATGTACACAGATGCACGCACACACAGAAATACATCGACATGCATCCTTTTTTTTTTTTTAAGAAAAAAAACCACACAAAAAACCACCACAATTTAGTCTAAAAGGGAACTGTTCTAGAGACAAACTATTTTGAATGGGGAAGGTGTTGCCAGTTACAACTTGAGCCCCTGCTTCTGCATGGACCCCTGGTGGAGCTTGGCTTCCCGAGCCACGGGGGACCTACCGCCTCCTCCCCACCCTGACGGCTTGCTCGCTCGCCGATGCTCTGGTGAGCCCTCGCCGCCCAGTCCCTGCAGAAGTGCCAGCTCTGTGCCCCACCATCTTCTTTTCCTTCTCTTGCCCTTTGCGTCCTTCTCGATGGACCCCCACCTTCCCTGCCCTGTGCCCCCTGCCCTCCTCCCCTCGCCATGGAGGAGGAGGGATGCACCCGGGGGCTGCAGGGCTAGGGCTGCTGCATGGGACCGGGGGAAAAGGCAAGTCTCTGGCTTGAGGCTCGGGACTCGGCGAGCGGATGGGTTTGAGAGGTGGGCAGAGGGCTGTAAAATAGGTTGGTTTTAAAATAATATATATTATCTGTCTAGGAACCATAAAAAGGGGGGAATCAATTACATCTCCCTATGATATACTCTCACTTGCTAATAAAATGGGGACACTCTGTTAACCAGTTCTGTACTTGCTTTGTCTTATATATCCATACATTTAAAACATAAAAAAAAAAAGACTACTTGAATTGTATTCTATTTCGTGGTTTGGAGGGGAGGGCTAGGGGGAGTCTTGAGAGGGGGAGGATTTTAATGTATAATCCTTTTGTTTGTTATTACCTTGCAATGTTGAGCCATGAAGCCTTTGTTGAAAAAAAAATGGCACTGCAATACACGACAAAGAAAATCCTTTATTTATTTTATTAAATATATATGGAAAAGAATGAAAATCGGTCCAAATTAAAAGGTGGGGGGGGAAGGGAAGTGGGTGGGTGGGGAAGGCAGAATTAAAACAGAGCAATTGCAAATAATTGACGTTTTTTTTTTTCCTTTTCATGTGTCTTTTTTAAAAAGAAACCTAGTTTTTATTTTTTAAAAAGAGAAGTAAAAGCTTTCCTGGATGCTTTGTACCAAAAAAGAAAAAAAGAAAAAAAAAGAAAAAAAAGAAAATCTGTTAAGCAAATAAATATCCATCCAGAATATGAAGCCTGACTTTAGATCGATTATTACCTTGCAATGTTGAGCCATGAAGCCTTTGTTGAAAAAAAAATGGCACTGCAATACACAACAAAGAAAATCCTTTATTTATTTTATTAAATATATATGGAAAAGAATGAAAATCGGTCCAAATTAAAAGGTGGGGGGGGAAGGGAAGTGGGTGGGTGGGGAAGGCAGAATTAAAACAGAGCAATTGCAAATAATTGACGTTTTTTTTTTTCCTTTTCATGTGTCTTTTTTAAAAAGAAACCTAGTTTTTATTTTTTAAAAAGAGAAGTAAAAGCTTTCCTGGATGCTTTGTACCAAAAAAGAAAAAAAGAAAAAAAAAGAAAAAAAAGAAAATCTGTTAAGCAAATAAATATCCATCCAGAATATGAAGCCTGACTTTTCTTTTACTTTTCGTTTATTTTTGCTGCTGGGGTGACAGTTGGGTGGGGAGAAGACCACACCAAATGACACTCTTCATGGAGGAAGAGTGTGTTCTAGCTCCTCTTTTTGGGGCTCAGACCTGCAAGAGAGACTGAGGTGCTATGATTCCCTTAAGCACATCCCTAAGAACCTCAATCCCATGGCAGATGCCCCCTGCACCTGCTGAGATAAATATATGTCCAGGAATTGTTGGTGAGATTCAGGTGTGTTTCCCAGTGGCCATCGGGGTTTGCTTAGCTTCAGCATTTTATCAGTGTAGGCTGTTCCTGGAGGCCTGAAAGCTGAACAGGGGTCAAAGATGTGCCAGACACAAAAAGGAGAAAAAAGAAGTTTTCTCTAGATCCAGTTTCCTTATAGACAGTGCTTCTCTTTTTTCTCGGGTAGATAAGTTTTTAGGAATCCTGGTGAGATGATTTTCGTCACATATAACCATTGTGCACCAGTGCAAATGGGAGGTAAAGTACTGCAGTTCCAGTTTGGCAGTAGAGCAGCTGCTGGGCAAAACTGTGCCCAAGCATCCGTAATTCCCCAAATCAGCCAGACACCACCTCATCTGTGCAGTCCCACTGGCATGGCCAAGACCTTTGTACTGCTGGGGGGTAAGGGACTTGACTTGAGTAAGGACCTGCCTTACTCCAAGCCACCTGCCCCAGCTGACTTGGGCTGGAAAAGATTTTCCACCTTGAAAGCAGAGTTGCTGATTTAGGCACTTAAAAATAGGTATTTTAAACCAGTTTCTTTTAAATTTTGCAGTAAGCAAAAAGAAAAAAATATTCTTTTTTCTCAGAGTTTTTTCTCTTGGGATTGTTGTTGTTGGTCAAGAGGTTTTTTGTACAGGTGCAGGACTGGCTCCTTTCTTTGGACATAGAGTTTATTGCGGGTGAAGAAAAGATGTAACTCCCACCACCTGCTTCAGCCCTTTGGCTTTCTTTGCATGAAAAGGTGTCCCTGTGAAGGCATGAGGACTGACTTTATCACAGCTTCTGGTGGCCACTACTGGAAATTTTGCCTTTGGGAGATGTGGTCCCTTTCTGCTCTTTGCTGTCTAAACCGCTGTCTTGGGGGACATTTAGAGATGATTAAAAACCAAGTAAAACTTCAGCTAAATCTCTTGCTTGCCTCCCCCAGGGAGTAAAGCACCAGTGTGGGAAGTGCGGTGGGGGATGATGCTGTTTCCAAGCACAGCTCATCTTTAACCCACCTTTCTGCCTTATCCTATCCCAGGTCACTGTGTGGCCAGACCAGAGCAGCTCATTTTTTTTGGATGCTAGGAAATTGTTCAAAATGTGCCATCTTGCCTTTTGGCTCGGCAAGGACTGTGTTCACTTGCAAGGAGAGACTCAAGCAGCCTCAGGGACTTCTACGTGGGTGGGTGACTGGCTGAAACTGGACCTTTGGTTTTGCTCAAGTTCCTTCTGTTGCCTGCAAAGCCTCGTTGCAGGTTGGCAGATAAGTAACAGGATGATCTTGGAAGTTCCAGACTGCAGGCTTGAGAACAAACCCAAGATGCCATGTTTGCTCAGATGGATGGACAGAATCGACTCTGATTTTCATTACAATGCGTCTACATGCAGACACAGCTCCCAGGGCTTAGCTGCTGGACTGCAGAAGCATGGGAGGCTGCAGATGCGACTGACAGCGCTCCCTGGGGAAGGACAACTGGCACGTCTGGGCACCCAACTCACCTCCTCATCCACCCCCGCTTCTGCCGTGCAAGAGGGTGGGGAGGCCAAAGATGATTTCAGCAGAGAAGTCCAAAATGCTGCCTAGACCCCCAGGAAGGACTGGGAAAGTCACCCCTTTGTCCTAGCCCAGCCCCAGCTCTTGGGTCTCAATATTATGTAGCTCTGCAGGAAGAAAAGGGAAAATGGTTTTT